GACACAAGGGGGAACGGGGGGGAGAGGGGAGAGACTGTCTAAATAGTGAGAGAGAGACTGTCTAAATAGTGAGTGACACCGGGTGGGGAGGGAGAGACTGCCAGAGAAAGAGAGAGACTGTCTAAATAGTGAGTGAGGGGGAGAGAGACTGTCTAAATAGTGAGTGAGGGGGAGAGAGACTGTGTAAATAGTGAGTGAGGGGGAGAGAGATGGGCTGTCTAAATAGTGAAGGAGAGGGGGACTTGGGGAAGAGAGGGAGCAGCCTCTTATCTGGCGGCACTCCTGCTAATAACTGGGAGAGCATTATGGAAGTGATCCCCAACATGTGGAGTAACACAGCTCTCTCTTGACTGCTGTAATCCTAATTAGAAAGAGGTATTAGGCTTGCTGAGCAGCATGGCAGGGGGTGCAGTCTATTACTCCAGCTGAGCGGCATGAGTGATAGTAGATGTAGTCCTCACTGGTTTAATAGTGAACGTCTATTGGAGTCAGAAGGCTGGCTGAGCATTGTGAGACATGTGGTCCATGCAAGGATAAACCTATAACACATTATATTAGAACATTTTTCTGATAAAGATTTACTAATCTCTCGTCGTAGTTTGCTGTTATTTATCAAAACTCAGAGTTTGGGTGGCAAAAACCCTAATCTATATTTTATTACAGTCTTCAATTTGGATAAATCAGAATAAAATTACATTTAGACCCACTCGGGTATCTATGAATGCAAGTAGGCTTCTGTGATAAGAACCAAATAATTAAATTCAAAAGTCTAAGAACTTGTGTGTCTATGGTGTGTTATAGCATTGGAGATAACATCAAACTGCTGGTGGACCGTCCGGATGGAACCTACTGCTTCAGATTGCACAATGATCGAGTCTACTATGTAAGGTGAGAGACATGCAGGTCAATGGAAACGCATCAAAAGTGGCAGCAGAGGCTCAATGCACCAGGTGGACATATGAGGTTTACCAGGATTGATATTCTATCTAGTACGTATTCCCCTGCTCTGGATTCATTCCCACGTGCTGAATATTTGTCTTCCAGTGAGAAAATCTTGAAGTTGGCAACCAATATAGCTCGGGACAAGCTGATAGCCCTAGGAACATGCTTTGGGAAATTCACCAAGACACAAAAGTTTCGTCTTCACATCACAGCCCTGGATTACCTGGCACCGTATGCCAAGGTGAGACATCACAGAGATTGTTGAATCCACATGTCTAGTTAGGAGTTTGTTTCTTATAACCTTCGTATGTTAATGTTTGCCTTGCCTGAATTGTTTATATCGTCTTTTAAATTATATATTAAATATTTAGCAAAAGAAAACTGATCATCACATGAAAAAAATCAAAGTGGCACTGTCATGGCCGAATCTTTTTTTTTTTTGGGGGGGGGTGGGGGTTGGGGTGGGAGGGGGGGGTTGGTTTTTAACTCTCTCCTCCCGACTCCACTACATCTAATTGTCACCCTCAAATGCCCCTAAGCCCCCACCATATTACCTATTTTTTCATCTTTATTTTGTGGCCGGACCTAGGTCCTGGGCGCCGCCATCTTTGTGTAGGTAGATGAAGTCCCTGTGGGACACGTCATCTGCCCACAGTAGATAGTGCTGTGAAATTCCCAAGCATGCCCAGTTAAACACATGGGCATTTGAACGGGAATTTGATCTATTTGTTTGTTTGGTTTATTACAAGGAGGGAGCTACCGGCGCGCAGGTAAAAAAAAAAGAAGCGGCAGGGAGCAGTGCTCTCCGCCACTTCCTAAGCCTCCCCCAATGTCCCCCCATATTAGCATAAGGGAGATTAAAATCTCCTGAATGCCTCTACTCGCAGCATAGCCAGTGGCTGCTCACTGTTGTAAAAAAAAAAAAAGGCCCCAGTGGGGCATCTATTAACTAGCAGAGGGGACATAGTATGCTCCCCCTGAGCCGCCTACCGTGCACTGCGAATGGGACTATTCAAGTAGGACAATAGGTGTCTCTCCCTCCTCCCCCCCCCCCCAATTGTAATTTAGGGCCCCCACCTGCCGCTCAGAGGTGGGGGCTGGGGGGGAGGACAATAGGTCTGTGTCCTATTGCAGCCGCGATCGTATTGGAAATTTCATTCAAATTAAATTCTGATCCGAACGAAGTCCCGAATTGCGTCCTAACACAAATGGACAAACTGCTCTCATTCTGTTAGGGCGAAATTTGGTAGTTTTGCCACGAGAGGCTGGATTAACCCTATTGTAAACATGTTAACAGCTGCAGGGTTGACACTAGATGGACCGGACACCCAGACCACTTCATTGAGCTGAAGTGGTCTGGGTGCCTATAGTGGTCCTTTAATGTGGAAATGTCTGAGAATGTAGCTTAAACGTTTAGTAATGCTATGTTTTTTTGCCCACTTGTCTTCTTCTGACACATATTTCCTGTCGCAGTACAAAGTTTGGGTGAAGCCGGGAGCTGAGCAGTCCTTCCTGTATGGTAATCATGTGCTGAAATCAGGGCTGGGGAGGATCACAGAGAATACGTCGCAGTACCAAGGAGTGATCGTGTACTCTATGGCTGATGTCCCCCTGGTGAGTATTTTTGCTGTTAATTTCTGGCCTTTATTTATTTTTCTTTGTGTGGGAGTAACAAATCATTTGTCCACGCCACATCAGCATTTTGAAAGGGTAAAAACACAGTAGTTGTACATATATGGCATAAGATTTTCAGCACAATTTTTAGTTTAGTTATGAACAAGCTAAGAATTTCTGGCCTTTAATAAACAGTGTTCTAGCCATGCTTACATTAAGGATACAAGGTAAGACCATATACGGCTTGCACCAGGGTAGAACACTATATTGGGCCTGAAAGTAGCTCGGAGTTACAATTCTTTTATTATAGTGTAGAGCTTTCTGATCCATTGTCCTTTACGTGTACTTGCTAAATGTTCTAGAACAATGAAACCGTAGAATATTAAGATAAACAGCAAAAAATCTGACCATCGAAATGCTATTCAAGTATTTATTTTTGTTTCCAGTAAATGAGTGATTTCCTGTATAAAGTTTTCCAGGTGGCTAATTGACAGACCAGTGAGGTTGACTCAAACCCCCGCCCCCCCTTCAGAGTAAAACTTTTTAAAAAGAAGTCTGCAGGGACAGGATATTTGCACCATAACCACTTTATTAAGATAAAGTGGTTATTGTACCAATAGTGAACATATGACAAATGCCAAGTCCTCTTGGCACTTTGATTTACAGCTATCAGCTGTGCATTGAATTGCTATTATCTTACGTAATAAATCCCAATGCAGACTAATAGCCCCTTCTGGCTATTAACAAGAAGTTAAAATACCACCAGCATATAGCTTATCATCCTCTTCCTTGTAGGGTGAAATTTGAGTTGTCTTGGCATTGCAACCTAAGGGGACTTTTCAGTCCTGTTCCAGAGTATAAAATTGCATCCAATGTCTGTGTGTATATATGGTGTTATAGATGGGGGGGGTGAGGGGGGGGAGAGAGAGAGAAAAATATATATATGTATAGTTCCAGTCCTCTCCAGTGTATGTGTGGGTTAGGCTCTGTGTGTATATGGAGTTATGGATAGGTCCAGTCCAGTGTGGGCTAGTTTAGGATGGTCACTATGTGACTTTACCCAAACCATTAACTCTTTGTTGACTTTCATTGCAGGGATTTGGTGTGGCTGCAAAGTCAACACAGGAATGCAGGAAACTCGACCCAATGGCAATTGTGCTTTTCCACCAAGCTGATATCGGGGAGTACATCAGACACGAGGAATCACTGACGTAAACAATGAACTTTCATCGGACTGTCATTGTTTGTCAGACATCCTTCTGTGGGACATTGCAATACATGCTCCAAGGAAGACTTGGTTCCTGGTGACTACAATAGCGGATCCTGCCCAGCAGCCCCTTCAAGACAACACTTTCTTTGACCCTATTTTACAGACTCTGGCACATCTAACTAAACTGTGGGGTGTATGAGGAATCGTATATATTCAAGGCCACACTGGCCTAAAACGTTTAACTCTTTGTTTAGTAAATAATCCAGTGTGTCTGATTTTCTGGAGAATGTTAAACAGTTTGTGTTTTTCTGCAATTAAAAATCTGACATGCAGGACCCTGGATCTGGTGTATTTTAATGCAGATTTTTCAATCTTGGCAACCTTATCCAAATCAATTTTAACAAAATTATGTATTTATTTCTACTGTATTTTATTAATCTCTGCATTATGGCAGTTTCAGCCTTAAGGGTTTTCCCCCTAATTTGTAGACTGGGAATAAAACTCTTTCTACAATCCCATTACATATGTATTTATAAGATGTATAGCACTCCATGCTCTCAGCAGCTGATGGCACTTAATATATCTGTGTAATACTTTCTAAAATAGAGATGACTTTGTACACCTGCAGGAGAGTGTGGATGATTACACTTTCCTTGTGAAGCTGATGGAGGATATGATGGTTTAATCACAGGTGTGGTGAGGAGCCTGCATATACCACTACCTTCCATAACAGGGAAAGGACAGCAAGGGGGTGAAGTTAGACCTTAGCATCTTTAGCACAAAGGGTGGGAGTTGTCCATTGCAGTGCTGAGTCAGGCACTAGTGTGGATTAGAGCTAAATTCTGGTAATAACATTTGATTATAAATGCAATATATGATTAATGCGGGGAATATATCCGCTGTGACAGTTTTGGTAACAGAGGCACTTCCATTAGAGAACTTTATATGTTACAGACTATTTGCTTATCACAGATTGTTTCAAAACTTGCTTGAAGCTGAAAAGATCGCCTTTTAGGGCCTCTACATTCATGCTCCGTTTGTCACAACTCACTACGTATTTCAGCAGTGAAATCTGTTCTATTGATTGAGAATAGCTAACGATACTGCTAAACAGTTCTTTGCCATTGCTACTTGTGCTTGCACCACAGACAGTTTTGGATTGGCTGCATCAGTGCTGTAAATAAGGTACCTGCTTCTGATGTAAAAAGAAACATTTTAGCTACACCAATTATTGGGCACAAGTTATTAGAGGTGTGGTGATTTTAATGTTTTTTTTTTTTATACAAAAGACAAAAAATATGGACCTTGGCCCATGCACATATTCCACCATCGAGACCTACATTTATGTGTATATAAACACGGTGCTGGTAACATGCACAGATAATCAGATTCTAAAGTCACAGAACAGTTAGACTCTGAGAACGTATGTTTATCGCTAGTGGTTTTAGCCTGTGTTAATTGGAATGGAAGTGGTTTAGGAAGACTCCCGTACAATGAACCTCACATCCCACTCAGCATCTCGGCTTATGGGTATCTGTGGTCGGCTTAACGTGGAAAAGACGCTTCAGGAAGTAGAGCTGTAGAACACCTGAGGTCACTATGAGCAGACTTGTGGCAGCAGACCACCAGTTCACGTAGTGATAATTGGACATCAGGATATAGTAATCTGAGCCTCTTCTCATCCTGGCAAAGTTATAATATCTCCACATGTGGAGCACACGGCCTTGTACAATCTGGGCGCTCTCCTGTGGGAAACAAAGGTTTGTGAGTACGAGGAGGTCTACACCAACAGGAAAGTTTAACAAAAGAGAAAAATGCAAGGCAGTGGGTAGGCACAAGGTAAAGTATTTATCTCCTAGAATGGGAGTCACAACCTATAAGGCTATATCCAAATTCCATTGTAAGATGGTATGGTACATGCTAGCTAAACTTTTAGATTATAGGAACAGAAGAATATATTTCAATAGTGGCATAATAAGTGTTTTAAAGGTCTTTTTGGCCATGGGAACAGATCAGTAAAACCATATTCTGCTCTACACAATTAGCCTTCTATGTTCACAATAAATTAGACTTATGTGACAAACAGGTGTCTGGACTAGGAAGGTAGGCAAACAGATTCCCAGATGTCATAGAACTGCCATTTCCATGATACTTTGCCATCTAAAAGCTTGGAAAACGCCATGGCAGTTGTAGTCCTACAACATTTGGTGATCTACCATTTGCCCTGTTCTACACTAAAGTGCTAAAACTGTGCTGCAGTCACCTTGGAAACATTGTATCCAATTGCTATACTGCAGAAGCAGTCAGCTCGCAATAACCATAATTCCCTAAAGATGGTGTGTAGTCACCGACCACTGACAATGTGTGCTTCATGTACTGTCTCCTACCTCAATAGAGGACAAAGTATCATTTAACTTCCGCTTGTGATCCTGAGGATGTTCGTCTCCTTGTCCATCATAGAACACGCCGAAGTTCAGGTAGATCTGCACCGATCCGAAGTGATTCTGCCAGTTATTTACACACAGCTGGTAAAAACCTGTGGAGGGAGGAAGCACATGTACTAAATATCAGATAGCCAAAAACTCACAGCAAGCTCTGCCGCCTGTTTTAGAACGTTCAGTAAGGTTTGAACAAATTCTACGATATTGGTCACCGCCCTGGTGTTCATTCCACCGCATGCGGTTAAAATGTCTAAGTTTGATCTTACCGGTCTCCTTGGTTTGGAAATTTATCTGCCCCCGTACATTTTCAGACGTCTCAATCAGGAATCCGTCCGGTGTGTGGGCCGTAGCAGTGACATGGCGATCTTGCATGAGTCCCGATGACCACTGAACCTGATCATAATAAAATTAAGCTTTTGATTAGGCAACAATAAGCTGTGCACTCATACAGCCACCACGGCTACAGTCTTCATCAACCCAAATCTACAAATATGTAACCTGCACACTATCCCAATGGCCCTTAAAGTGCAAGCTCACCCATCAGCGAGTCCTACACTAACAATTCACCCCGTGTGACCTTCATGTTATTCTCGATTCCAAATGTCAGGGGTTACAGGGACAACTAGCCAACATATGGAACGTTGCACAAATGCCTGAGGGCAGCCCATTGCAATTATTGAACTTGTGGGGAGAAAAAACACCTTTACCAATTAAAGAGACAAAATCTGTATTTATTAAGCCAACAATAGTAAATAGTAATTTCAGGAGGTGACGAGGCTCTGATAAAGAGACTGGCAGGGTCACCTTGCAGGATGAGAGATAAGGCACTCCTGAGAAAGTCTGTCCGGGACCAGATGTTAGATTTAGGGTTATTGCATCAGCACAAGATTAGTCTGAGTTACAGTGACCTGGACTGAATGGACAGACCAACGATCCAGATCAGTCTAATGTCTCACATGTGGACTGTGTGTCAATAGAGCCAAGAAAAAAAATATAACTATGCTGGCCAAGCATCATGGGAGTTGAAGTTCAAGAACACGGTGTGTTTGATTTGGACACACTACAACAACATATGGCCACATTTAACTTCTGATCTGCAGAGAATACTGGAGAATGCTACCATCCGTTATTTGGCTACAGTTTATCCACAGAAAACCCTGGGGGGGGGGCGGGGGACTGCCACCAAGTACAGTAAGCTTGTTAAAGACACATAGCATAAGTGGCTTTCTGAAATGTTTTGTCTGTTGATTACATGTATTACTGCAGGTAATATACATGGCCTGGGATTTAACAGTTCAACCTCTGGAAGTAATATTTGCAGTAGCTACAGAAAACACTCAAGTACATATAGGGTTCTATTTGCACCGCATTGCTGGCAGTGATGAGATGCGCAAGGAACACGATTGTAGCAAAGTTAGAAAAATGCCATTTCTTGGGGACTCACCTCAAATCCAAAGTAGAAGAATCCATTCTGATGCGCAAAATGCCAGAAACACTCCGAGCCTGATGGTGGGACAAGGATGGCAAAGTCGTATCGATCAGAGCCACGGAAGAGTGGCTCTGATTTAGGGTTGCTCAGTGGTTCCGATTTCTGTGCCAAGCCTGGGTGAAGCAGGGACAGGAGGACAGCAGCTGTAAGGAACATGGTGCTTGCAAATAGGAGATGTAGCGTAGAACAACCGGGCAGGAGAAACTGAACAATTATTAACCCAACGAGCATGGCCCGGCCCACTGATAAAGGGTTAGTCTCAGCCAATAGAAACTACACACAATCTGCTGCATTTTAATAAACGGTTCTTTGAACAGGGCTTCTCAACATATTGTTCTTGTAAAATCTTTCAACAGTTTGTCTCATTTATTGGTAGATTACACTTAATAGTGCACAGCACTTCCGTTCGGTTGGAACTATATAAAATGCCAATAATAAATGTATATACAGAGTTTACAACCAGGTTGAATGTTGCTTCAAGACAGATTATTTTTTTAATCCATTAAAAGTACAGTTTGTTTTTTTTCTAAATACATCCCGTGATCTAAATGTCCAACCCATGTTACCCAATGCTTCTCTATAATCAACTTTGTAAGAATGACAGACTGACCTAACTTACACAGTTACATAGTTGAAGAGAGACTTGCTTCCATAAAGTTCAGCCTTTCTCACATATGTTTTTGCTGTTAAAAAAACAAAGGAAAAAAAAAAACAAAAAAAAACCTAGTCTGAAGCGCTTCTTGCGGACTACAGTTTTGCATATTTTCTCCAATTTGTCCTGTTAAGCACATACATATGTACAGGTCTGCTGGGATGAATGTTAAGTTTCACATTAGGTGACACTCACTAAAGGTGCCGAGACATACAGTCAATATAGATCTTGTAGGAACTGATCTTTTAAACTAGAAGAGGTTTAGAGAAGGGAATAGAAAATCAAGATTGCAGCCACATAGGATTATTCAAAGAATAAAGTCATAAAAAGACAAAACATTGGGGAACTTGGCATGTATGCGGTGACGTATCGCCAGTAGATCATGTAGAGTCCTTCATCGGAGCTTTATAAATCGAGAAGCAGAAATGAAATGTGAAATCTATTTGGATGCTGGGAATTAGCACAAACGTCTAACATTTTACCCCTTAATACCAGATAAGTGACATTTAAGGATTTTTCACAAAGCGTGCAGCAATTCTCAACAAAATAAAAATTAACTTTGTGAGTTTGAAATATACAATAAATTTAACAACTTTTTATTTATATCCGACAGAACATCACAGCACAAACAATGGGTGTACTGAGGTGTGGGGGGCAGATGAGAAGAACAAATATGTATGTTTACATAAAAGAAAGTTTATTTATTTATTTTTATTCCCCTACTACACAGACTACAACCTTGTTATTTTCTTCAGGATGTAAGCCACACAAAATTACTTACTAGGAAAATAACTAAGAAAAAAATAAGTGAAATAATCAATGAATGTACTGTAAATACAATAAAAAAAAATAAAAAGGAGATCATTGTTTATACTGAGCATAACAGCAAAACAAATCAAAAATAAAAAGTTTAAGTTCCAACCTAAAACATTAATGCCATCGGACGATTTCCACTTATTGAAGATTGTGTCAAATCACGACATGTAGTAAGATAGATATATCTATATATAAATAAAAATTGTCACAGATTTAAAAAAAATAAAAATAAAATATACATACAAAAATGACACAACATCCAGTTACGAACACTGCTTTCCTTCCAACTGTAAACGTCATATATAGTTAAAACATTCAGAAACACACAACGGATTAAAACCACACTAACAGGCTGGAGTGGCAAAGAGCACATTCATCCAGGAATCCAAACCTATTCAGATCTATAACCAGAAAACTTGCCATCTGGAAAACGATCCAGATGTAATCCAGAGATCTTAATGCAGATAACAGAGCAGCGATAATGGGAAGGATTCAATTCACGCTATAAAAAGCAATACACTTACTCAGAAAGGGGTACAATCTAACAGCAGATAAGCAATGGAGTCAATAGAACGTCACGGGTCAACAGTTAATGCTTTTTTTTTTTATTTTATAAAACTGCTAAAACAAAAAACACACACAAAGCTGTGTAAAATGAAATGTGTCACCTTTAAAAATTCGAACCATACAGAGAGGGAAAAATAAATAAATCATGCCCCGCCAGACTGTGCCACTGATGAAGTCTAGCTTTTGGTTTAACATATATACAAGGTGCCATAATATAGACAACATACTCTTGATCTATACATAGTAGTAGTTCTTCTGTACAAGATACATTTATTTTTTCTTGTTGCACACAAGAGTCAAAGTTTATGAACGCAGGATCTCAATAGGAGCAACTGAGCTGAACAATGAATTCCATATAAAATGAAACCTGTTAGAAAGGCATCTAGCCGCTCTGTTAGAGAACACTTCATGGGGGAATCAGTACAGATACATGGCCATTGTGCACCGTAATACTAGCTGTGTGTCCAGCACACAAAGAATCCTTGCACACTCTCATGACCACAATGAAACCAAATAATCTTCTCAACAGCAACTACTAGGAAACGCGTTGCTCTTCAGAATCAAAAAAAGGTAGTTTACCAAAGTAAACCGCAGCAAAAATGTACAGATTACTCGTGAATTCTCTGCCTTTTCATAGTCCTCCATCGGTCCTTTATCATGACACCAGTGCGGTTCTCAAAAGGGAACATTTCCAAGATGGCCTTCCAATTCCCTTCTCCGTATCGTCGTACGCCCATCCTGATCCAATCAGTTTCCTCTTCTGTCCATTTCTGCAGCATGAGAAAGAAAGTGCTATTATATATCTTTGTCTCTGTATTCCTATCAGACCAGCCAACACAAAGTAACAATTGGCATTAGGTGAAAGAAAACCCAAATGTTTACTCCAAGCAGCATGACCACTTAATTAAGCTGAAATTGAATGGTGCCTGGGGTCTGTATGTGCCGCGTTTGGTTAATCTCCGTATGAGTAGTGTTACAAAAATGACTGACGGAGTTCCAAGCAGCTAGTGTTAATTCTGTGCACAGCTGGCGCCTCATGCTAGGTAGCCAATAGAGACATGGGCCCTGGTACTCCTCTCAGCCTGATGTCACCCCACCTCATCGAAAGAGGGAGATTAGCAGGGAATGATCGGGCTGAAGGAGAACTTGGCATTGGCGCTAGAACAGAGAATTATTTTAGCTTTTTATTTCACATTTTGGCAGGTAGGACCAGGCTGGGGTTACTGGAACAAAAATTAGGCTTTTCCGAAAAAAGACTAGTTTTTGGTTGGAGTAACTTTTTAAGAAGTAGTCATGTAAATTTTTTGTGGTCTGACAGCCAAGCTGCAGAGTTTAAGGTTTTATTTTTTTGGCTGCATGGAATGCCGGCTCAGTTATCTAAATTATCAGCGAAATACAGTTCAAGAAACTCTTGTTCAAGTCATTTTATTTTCCGTGGAAAAACATCGAAAATCAACAATCAAGTTTCATGTTGCACTGTTAGCCGGTCAGAGAGGGGTTTCTTAAACCCCAAATAGGAGAGTCAGACCTTTCACACAACACAACACTGGCATGATCGGCCTCTTCCTCTCATTTAATGCAAATCAAGCAGATTTAGAATTAGAGGAATGACTTCCATTGCTAACCAAAGCCTTTGCTTGGACTGCTCCCCAAATCAGGTTTACTTGATAACATTGCTATATTTCGATTTTGTCTACTCAATATTTCTAACATTTTGATCTTTTGCCATTAACTTCTGTAGAGTATCGGTCTTAAAATATACAAATTTTCCAAAGATAAATAAAAGTACCTGTTTCTTGATGTGGTGCGCTGATGCATTTGATGTTTTTGAGGTCTTTGAAGATACTGGTTCTAAAGTTAGAGGGAAGAAAATATACAAACGGTGTCATACACACGCTTCTTTCACCACATCATTCAAAGCACCTGTATGTGCCAAGTCACATAACTGCAGCATAAAATAAAATAAAATATAAAAACCTCTCGCTCTCTGCCCTCACCTAACCTTGGATTTAAAAGTAAATCACAGTGAAATTATGGGGCCATACCTTCACTTTGCTGTGATTAATGCCCATCTTTTTACGTAACTACATAGATCATTCCTGGGATTTCTCTGCATGGGTGCTCTTGCATGCATTTTATTGGAAATTTAGCTCTGCAAATACATAATAACAGTTACCCGGATGTCAAAACAATACGATGGAACTTACTCTTCTTTCGGAACAATTCCTCTTCCTCGCTCCAGTTGTCCTGCCATTCAACCACATTAGAGTCGTTCAAAAAACATTTCCTGAAAATTGGTGTAAAACCGACAAGGAAGTTATCAGAAAATGGAGATTTATGGCCTCCCTGGTAAACAGACTTTATAGTTTTCAACATCTACCAAAAATGGAATTCTTTTCTTTCAACATAAAGAAACACAATTTGAAACAAGGAACACAAACGAATACCCCTAAATGGGGAGGAGTTTGGAAAATGATCATTGAGAAAGACAGACCAGGCAGTGTCGGACAGCCACTGAAAATACCAGTAAGCTATAATCATACATAAAAGGGGCATCAATTCATGGTGAGAACAGTTTAATGTTGCCTTTTTATAAGCCAATAGGAATAATCCTACCGTGAACATGTGGTGCACTTTTTAAGGGACCATTTCAGCTCATTGAAGTGGCCTGGGTGCATATTCCCAGATTCCCTGAACCTCCAAACATAATTATTGCAGTTTTTAATTAACTCCACCTCTAGTGGCTGTCTACCAGGGACATCCAGCGTCACCCAAAACCCCATAGTAAAAGCATTGCAGAATGTTTTCCTATGGGGATGTGGGGAGAACTAATGTGAGCTCGGCCATTGTAGCACATGCGCATTAGGTCTCCCCGCCAGCTGACATGCACCACGAAGGGGAAACAAAATGAAGAGAAATGGGAGATTTTAGTAAGGAAAAAGTTATAAAATATATATTTTACATAGATGTCTCAAAGGAGATATGAGAATACTATACAAATAGAGGTCTGCACAATGTGCTCTCTGGTAACCTGTTGTGATGAGGACCGCTTAGTGATACAGGAGGAGAACCGATTTCTATGATATGGAATTTCTTCCACCATTGGAAATGGAATCATAGTTGGCATTTTGCCTTCTTTGGGACCAACAGAATAAACAGACAGCATAGTGCAAGTACTTACGATTTCACGGTTTTGCGTGCTTGCATTTTCCCCCGTTGGGGGATTTTAGAGGGGGATTTATTCTCTTTGCTTGTTGTGTTGGAGGAATCCATGATATCTTGTTCGTTATCACACTGACTGTCCTGCTCCATGACGAGTTGTTTTACAGTTACCGAATGTGGAAGCGACTCGGAACCCCCTGGCTCTTCCGAGTTGGCACACCTGTCCAGGAGCTCTTTACCGGGCTGCCACAGACAGTCTGTCTCACAGAGATTGTCAAACACAGCGTCAGGGTTTTCATCTTTACTGAGAAGCTTGAACTCCGCTCTGATTGCAGACAGGCTGAAGATAGGACCAGTGTCTATTGCTGACCTAAAATATCAACCAAACAGTCCCGGATCAAAAGGCTGCAGGACATGGCTCCTGGTTTGCAGCATGAGAGTCCACAATGAAAATGATTCTACATAAGCAATACAATACAAGATGCACAATTTGGCTAA